AAATGTCCTTCATTTCAGACCTTTCTCAACTTTTAAATTGTTATCCTTTTTGAGCTATCTCTAATCAACTCACTTCCAGTTAGTTTCACCTTTCATCAGCAGCTTAACATGCTTCATTGTTTCTACTCTCTAGTAACTAAAATCCACACCATTGGCATCAATGCCATCAGCATCTGAAACAAATTTTGAGGAGATATGTGCATACATATAATTTATTCACATTTCTATACAGCAGAAACTAACACAACATTGTGAAAGAAAGTGAAAGTGAAGTTGCTCAGTCATGTCCGACTCTTTGTGACCCCGTGGACTGTAGCCTACCAGGCTCCTCCATCTATGGGATTCTCCAGGCAAGAATATTGGAGTGGGTTGCCATTTCCTTCTCCAGGGGATCTTCCTCACACAGGGATCGAAGTTGGGTCTCCCGCATTGCAGGCAGACGCTTGACCCTCTGAGCCACCAGAGAAGTCCATTGCAAAGCAATTATATTCTAATTAAAACATAACATTGTAAAGCAATTATATTATAACTAAAAAAATATGCATTCAGGAGACCCACCAGGTAGACTCCTTTCCAGTCTCCTTGGCTGATTACAGCTCTTCCTCCCTATTATGCACTTCTGGCCCTCTCCTCTTCTCTGTCTTCTAGTTCTAGGCTTCATATATATAAACATATAACTCTCCAATTATACCTTTAATTTCAGCTTATTTTCCTAACTCTAGACTTACATATTTAACCTCCAACTAGACAGTTCTACACTAGCAATTTAACTATTTAATATATTTTCTTACAGATGGCTAGATTTATGTACTGCATTGGAAACAGATACACAAAATATTATGCAGCCCATCAGGTGCAGAACTTGAACTCTCTATGGTCTACTTGGAAGGCTGATCCCATTACTCCATTTGCCAAATGACATCTTCAACTCCAGTCTCTGGCTTCCTTAATCTCTATAAACGGAGACCTTAGAATTATTCATTCTATCCAATGATATTGGTGAGTAGATGGGAAAGAGCAAAGAATCCAGGGCCTTGGCATACATTGATGAGACCACGTAAAGATACTGTAGTTCAGATGCTGAGTATTATCAATATTTATCTCTTTTGGGATTGGAAAGATTTTGGCAGCAGAAGAAATCATTTTGGTCTTAGAGACAGTTCCCAAAGTTACTCATTAGAAAAAAACCTGGAGGAATTTTCAGTTGAGAAAATTTCCTTTAGATAGGGAATGAAATCAACAATTAAACAGAAGTCTAACCTTGATTTGGACGTGGAATTAGAAAAATGACTTAAAACTCACAATTTTTTCTAGTCACTGCCCTCTTTCCTTTTATAAGAATAGTTTGAAAAGACTAACATACAGCCATAACATGTTATATGTGTCCTTTTGTTTTTATTTTTATGAGAACTTTTGTCATACAAATATACTGAAATTTAACAAATTGTTTCATACATCTGTTGATAAAGTCATCTCAGTTGAGACTTGAAACATTAAACAGAGTCAGTGCTTCTCTGCTGTACTCTTACCAATTTCTGAATCACTGAATAATGCAATTTAATTAAATAAGTGTTTAACCATCTGTGCTATAGTGTGTCATGCAACAATAGGTGACCGTGTGCTCTTCTATAATTTACAGCCGCCATGTATGTTCAGTCAGTCAGTTCAGTTGCTCCATCATGTCTGACTCTTTGCAACCCCATGCACTGCAGCACACCAGGCTTCCCTGTCCATCACCAACTCCCAAAACTTACTCAAACTCATGTCCATCCAGTCGGTGATGCCATCCAACTATTTCATCCTCTGTCGTCCCCTTCTCCTTCTGCCCTCAATCTTTCCCAGCATCAGGATCTTTTCCAATGAGTCAGTTATTCACATCAGGTGGCCAAAGTATTGGATTTTCAGCTTCAACATCAGTCCTTCCAATGAATATTCAGGACTGATTTCCTTTAGGATTGACAGGCTTGATCTCCCTGCAGTCACAGGGACTCTCAAGGGTCTTCTCCAACACCACAGTTCAAAAGCATCAATTCTTCTTTATAGTCCAACTCTCACATCCATACATGACTACTGGAAAAACCATAGCTTTGACTAGATGGACCTTTGTTGGCAAAGTAATGTCTCTGATTTTTAAAATGCTGCCTAGGTTGGTAATAGCTTTTCTTCCAAGAAGCAGGAGTCTTTTAATTTCATGGCTGTGGTAACCATCTGCAGTGATTTTGGAGGCCCTCAAAATAAAATCTTTTACTATTTCCATTGTTTCCCCATCTATTTGCCATGAAGCGATGGGACTGGATGCCATGATCTTAATTTTCTGAATGTTGAGTTTTAAGCCAAGTTTCTCACTCTCTGCTTTCACTTTCATCAAGAGGCTCTTTAGTTCTTCTTCACTTTCTGCTATAAGGGTGGTGTCATATACGCATCTGAGGTTATTGATATTTCTCCCGGAAACCTTGATTCCAGCTTGTCTTTCATCCAGCTCAGCATTTCGCATGATGTACTCTGCATATAAGTTGCATAAGCAGGGTGACAATATCCATGTATGTTGGATTACATAAAAAATCCTGATCAATAGAAATTCTAGTCCGAGATAGTTCAGGGTATAAAATACCTTCTCCCCACAGATTCTTTTATAAACAAAACTGGAATTAAGAGACCAAAGAAGGTAAAGTAGGAAGATGAAGAACTACATGAGCTAGGTTAGAACCAAATTCTTTGCTTTACAAAAGTGGATGTAAACAATTTGAATAATCTGTTCATGAGCTCAAAATATCCTTTCATAACTTTTCAGTCTATATCTCTATTATTTATTTAGTAGTCTTATTTATTTATTTATTGGTTGCATTGTCTGGCTTGTGGGATCTTAGTTCCCCAACCAGGGGTTGAACCTAGGCCCTTGGCACTGAAAATGCAGAATGCTAACCACTGGACACCAGGGAATCCGATATCTCTAAATAGTTGGAAATGCTGGTATCCACTATGGTTTCAAATCCAGTGACACTTCATGGAACATAGAAAGTGAGGAACATAGTAATTCTTGTCTATTAGCTCCAAAAATACTTCAGCAAAGAAAGCTGAGTGCCGAAGAACTGATGCTTTTGAACTGTAGTGTTGGAGAAGACTCTTGAGAGTCCCTTGGAATGCAAGGAGATCCAACCAGTCCATCCTAAAGGAGATCAGTCCTGAATATTCATTGGAAGGAATGATGCTAAAGCTGAAAGTCTGATATTTTGGCCACCTGATGCAAAGAACTGACTCATTGGAAAAGATCCTGATGCTGGGAAAGATTGAAGGCAGGAGAATGGGATGACAGAGGATGAGATGGTTGGATGACATCACTGAATTCATGTACATGAGTTTGAGCAAGCTTCGGGAGTTGGTGATGGACAAGGAAGCCTGGCGTGCTGTAGTCCATGGGGTCACAAAGAGTTGGATACAACTGAATGACTGAACTGAACTGAATTACTATTTGATAGCTTTCACTTAGTATAAATTTGGTGATAGGTAAGGAAAACAAACTGGATGAATTCTCCATATTCCACTGGCATTATATCACATTACATTCTGTGAAAATAAGTATAGAAATAAAAAACAAAATAAATAATAAGAAAGAACTTTGAAGCTCAATTTTCTATGACCAGAAATTGAAGGGAAAATAACATATCAATGAGCAAGAAAGATATTCCTGAGATTTTTTTTCACACTGCCTCCATTTTTTTTTTTTTACACTGCCTCCATTTATAGCAATATTTTACGGTAATCTTTGACAGGTTGTCCATTTGAATTATAAAGCATCTTTGGAGTCAAAGTTCACATCTCTGTTAATTAGTACTCAAAGCATTATTTGTTTTAATTACTTACTTGCTTCCTTGCTTGGAGAAAAAGAAATAATGATATACTGCTTAAAATTTTCCCTTAACTCATATATGAGCTAACATTTATTTTTCTAGTTGAGTAACCATAGCCCTACACTCAAATTCTTAAAATAAAACAGCATAATAACTTTATTGTTCACATTATAATATGTTAATTTATAGGAAACATGCAGATTAACAAGCCTTAGTATTATCCAACTGTACAATATATGCATATTTGAGGCAAATTTCTGTATCTGATTTTATTCAAGAACACACAAGAATATGTAAACAAATAGTTTTATCAACTTATATCCCCCACACAAATTCAACATTAAAATTCCAAGGAGGCTTCCCTAGCGGATCAGTGGTAAAGAATCTGCCTGCCAATGCAGGAGACACTGGTCTGCTCCCTGATCCAGGAAGATCCCATATTCCATGGAGCAATTAAGCCCACTTGCCACAACAGGAGAAGCCACCCTACTGAGAAACCTGAGCACCGTGACTAGAGAGAAGCCCCCACTCGCTGAAACCAGAGGAAAGGCTTCATTGCCATAGCAATGAAGACTCAGCACAGCCAAAAAAAAAAAAAAAAGATCTTGTGGATAATGTCCCATTTGTTCAAGTTCCCCTTACATTACCTAGTCACACACTGTTAACACAACTAGACTGAATTTTCCCATTTATTTATTTTTTGTATATAATGCCTCTGTTTCACAAACAGTAAACAACTAGAAAAGCAGCATAATTTCACATCTCAACTTTCTCATAGTCTTTTTACTGATGCCTTGGAAGAATTCTCTAGATTTCTTAGAGTCAGAGTCTCCTTCTGATCACCCTCCTCAAAGCCCCCTCTACTTCCTTGTTCCTCAAAGTATAGATCAGTGGATTTAGTGCAGGAGTGACCACGCTGTACATAATGGCGATGATTCGTTCCTGGTCCACGGAGCTACCTGAGGCAGGACGAATGTAAATGAAAACAACAGGAGCATAGAAAAGAACAACTACCATGAAGTGGGAGGCACACGTGGACAGTGCTTTATGAAGCATGCTGCAAGAATGGGTCTTGAAGAAAAGAGAGATAATAATATAGAAATAGGAGAGAAGGGTTAGAGAGAATGGGCCCATGGCAATGGTCCCTGTCACAGAATGAAGTAGCCATTCATTGAGGTCAGTGTCCCCACAGGCCAACTCCAGCAATGGCTTAACATCACAGAAGAAGTGATGGATACGGTTAGAACCACAGAAGTTTATGCGAGAGGTCATTACTGAGTGCAGCAGGGCATGGAAAAAACCAATGATCCAGACAGTGACAGCCACCTGGGTACAGACCTGATGATTCATGATAACAGTGTAACGAAGTGGTTTGCAGATAGCCACAAAGCGGTCAAAGGCCATCACGGCCAACAACATGGCCTCTGTGCTGCCCAGGAAGTGGAAGAAATGAAGCTGGCTTATGCATCCCAAGAAAGAAATTGTTTTGTGGGTAGAGAGGAAGTTCTCCAGCATCTTTGGCAGAGTCACTGTGGAGAAGCAGATATCTAGACATGACAGGTTTCCCAGGAAAAAATACATAGGAGAATGGAGTCTCGAATCAGAGATGACAACCATCAGGATGACTCCATTCACAGCCACATTGACAATGTAAATTGCAAGGAAAATCACGAAGAGAACAGGCTTCAGTACTTGGATGTCTGTCACTCCCAGGAGGAGAAATTCAGTGACAGAGGTTTGATTCAGCATCACTTGAAAGAAAAGACAAAATAAGATATGAAATGATTTCTCTCATGGGAACCAGAGTCCTGCAGCTGAGGATTTCCCATCTAGACAATAATATTTTGAGGGAGAGCATTGTTGCTTTGGGGGCTTACCTGGTGGCTCAGTGGTAAAGAAGCAACCTATAAATGCAAGAGACATGGATTCAACTCCTGGTTCAGGAAGATCCCCTGGAGGAGGAAATGGCAACTCTCTCCAGTATTTTTGCTTGGAAAATTCTGTGAACAGGGGAGTCTAGAGGGCTACAGTCTATGGGGTTGCAAAGAGTTGGACACAACTGAGAACATATACAAAGTTTGGGAAACCTGTGAGTGGAGAAGAAAAAGATTTGATGTGACCTCAATAAAAAAGTGAATTAACTAGGAAACATTTATAGGGATCCCATGGGACATTCACATTTATAGCTAGAGAATATTTTGAGTAATTATCTAACCCTTATTATATCTTTACTGAAGGCTGGCACTGAGGAATTCAGAGTAGCTTTCCTTAATAACCATGTGTATTTTGTATATTGTTAAACTTTATCACTCTTGCTTAAGATACACATGATATGCCAAATGTTATTTTTGGTTCTCTACCCTCAAAACAAAATTGTATCAAAAATTCATTTGGGGGGAAAAACCTTTTCCTAATATTTAAAGAAAACAGCAATCAGACTTTCTGTACTAAATAATTTATTTCACTGCATCTTTAGAGTTTACTCATTTATTTTGATGAATATCTAGAGGTATGGCACTAAAATGTAGGCAGTAGAGAGCCTTCACAACCATAAATACAATGTCCATCATTAAATAGGAAACCAACTTTAAGTCCTTGGTATGTAAATTTAGCACTAACAAGAAATCAGAGAATTCGGGCTACTTTGAGCCTGTTTCATTCTCCTACCTGATTCAGTGTTCAAATTTATAGTTAAGAAAGTTGACCAGGTTTACACTTCTGAAAAATAAACAGTAGAAAACTATGAAAAATAAAGAGTAGAAAAATGTTTGAAGTGATAGTTTATATTGGGATTATAAACTCTTCATATTCCAAAACCTCTTCTGTCTGAAATTCTTCCTTTTGTTTATGATCCATGGTTCTTTAGATATATAAACTCTGAGAGAGGGTGTCCCCTGGGTTTGAGAGGAGTATTGTAAGGGTAAACAAGATACCTTTCTATACATGCAATATAAGAGAATTCTCCTTGGGGAATTCCTATCTTGAGTTCCATTTTTTTCATTTTTCCTCTTTTCTTTGCTGTTTATTTCTTTGTTTCAGAACCACAGGCAATACAATTCTCAGTGGCCTCAAATTTTCTTAAATTATCTTTCATTTCCTGGGACAGAGGTATGGATTCAACTTTCTCATCTTGGGAACTTCCTTGGAAAAATCATAAAATGGAAGGAAATTGGGCTATGACATTTAAGGCATGAGCATGAGGGTCAGTCATATTTCTTTAATCCATACAGAAAGATGATTATCTTTAAATATTCCCCTCATTTATTACTGTGGCTCTGTGGAAAATAGAGGAATAGGGAAAAGTAGTAGGGCTTTGTTTCTTCTCAATCTGACTTTTCACTCTTGGTATTAACACTAAATTATTTCCTTTAATTTTGGAATTCCCAAGCTCACATGAGAGAGCTCTAGGAGAAGGAAGCTGGTCTCTCATTGTGTATCTTTACTTCTTGCTATACCCTTTAGGTAAAAATATCTATCTGCCTTACCCAAAGGATATATATATGTGTTCTGACATCTATCCAAGCTTTAATTCCAATTGTAAATGCCATGTCCTTTGTTCATCTTTCTATTGCATATAACTGTTTTTTGCTACGCAGAAGTTCATTGTATATTCATCACATTAATAATTTCTTGTTCTGGTATATGCTATGAATAAAATACAAGTAAGTAGCAATTATTGTGTGCTCATTGTGTAAGTGATGTTTCTGAGTCTATGTATTTGTATTTCCATCCTTCCTTCTATATGTTTAAAGTGATGCCAAAAGTGCTGGAGGACTTCCTGCAGAAGGCATTCATCTTTATGACTGGTTCCTTGACCCAGTTCTTTATCTTTGGCTCTCTAGGGACAACTGGATGCTCCTGATTGGTGGTCAAGGAATATAATCACTATTGAATAATTGTTACCCTCACTGCCACGCACTCCCAGACAGTACTTGGGGCTGGTGGGCATAGCCTGGCTCTTTGGCTTCATGATAGATGGATTGGTTGTGGCCCTGATGGCCCAGCAGAGGTTCAGTGGCCCAACCACATTATCCAATTTTACTGCGACTTCACGCCTTTGTTAAGACTTGCCTGCTCAGATACTAGAATGAGTGGTCCAGGTAACAACATTCATTCATTCATTGTGTGGTTATCTCACTATTCCTTTTGGTCTGACTCTGATATCTTATGCCTGGATTGTAGTGGTTGTATTGGCAGTTCTTGCTGTGGTCAGCAAGAGAAAGACTCACCCACATGGTCCTCCTACTTAGCTATAATGTTCACATGTTGTGAAATTCTCATGGTCTTTTACATTACAGTCTCTGCTGCTCAGTCCCCATTCAAGTTATTACCCTGCTCTATTTGATGGTCACTACCATCTTCAATCCTCTAATCTACCTTCATCGGAGCAAGCTGGCTCATTAAGCAGTGAGGAGGCAGCTCTCATAAGGAAACTGACTCACTTGACTTAACAAAGAAGGGTGTTGATATTTTCTTTTGGGAGTGCAGATTTCTCCACTGAGAAGTCTTCCAAGAATGTTTGGAAAAGCATATCTTTGTCTATTCTCTTGTTCCTCTCTAATCTTCTATGGTTCCTCTAAAAGTGAGGCAAGTATGGCAATTTTTAAGTGTTAGATTAAATTTTTTTATTTTAAATTCTATTATTTCTCTATCAGATAGGTCATGAATATTTTATATAGAAAAACAAAGACAAATAGTATCACTAAAAGAAACCTAGAAACACTGTTTATTTATAGCATTGTTTTATGACATCAGAATTGCATTCTATGCAAATGTATAAATAACAGAAGCTGGATCATTAAGTTTATAATCAGATTTTCCAGTGAAAACTGTTAGGACAATTCTTTTTCAAGATCAACAAATACATATTGGTTAGGTGGAAAAAAACGGAATGAACTTTGTGGCCAATTCAATGTTTTATTCTTTTGGGTTTTATAATATGGCTAAACATGACGTTCTTAAATATTCTTTTATCATTGGGAATTTTTAGTTGTATTCCATTCTTTCACAAGCATTGTTTATTTCCAGAATTTACTTTAATGTATTCTTCATGGTTTGATTGCAATGTCTAAGTATACAGATATTTTAAAAATATCTAAAGCTGAATTCACTTCACTTATTTATTTTAACTTTTGCTTTATTTTTATCTTTTTACTGTAGGTCTTTGTTGGTTATCTATTTTAAATATAGCAGTGTGTACATGTCAATCCCATCTGTCCATTGACTGATGAATGGATAAAGGTGGTGTGGAACATACATTCAATGGAATATTACCCAGCCATTCTAAAGAATGAAATAATGCCATTTGCAGCAAAATGGATGGATCTGGGGATTGTCATACTGAGTGAAGTAAGTCAGCAAAGACAAATATCATATAATATATCATACAGCCTAAAAAAAGATACAAATGAACTTATTTACAAAACAGAAAGAAACTCACAGACTTAGAGAATGTAATCTATGGTTATCAGAGGGGGAAAGAAAGGGGGAGGAATAGATGGGGAGCTTGGGATTGTCATTTTAAATTTTTATTGTAGAAAATGTCAAATATTCAGAGAAGTAGAGTTGGTAGTGTAATAGACCCTTATGTACCTATCATCGAGCTTTGACGTCAATGTTTTGCTAATATTGTACCTATTATTACCATTCCTTTTTTTTTCCTGGAAAATTGTAAAGAAAATTTTAGACATTGTGTGTATATTGTACAGGCAGATTCTTTACTGCTGTGTCACCTAGGGAGCCCATATATATTGTGCTGTATAAATTATATAATCTTGTATTCCCAGGGAAAATATTTATTATGCTTTCAAATTTATGAAGACATTTTTGTCCACCATGCCATGATAATATTTCCCACAATTATTAAGATAACAGAAAAACACAAATTAATAGAACATTCTGAAAAATAAGGCATTAAAAGGGGAAAAAGTGCATAGGACCAGTTTCTATTCTCTTACTTATGATGATGATACAGGTGTTACTGATGGGGAGAGAACTAAAGATGGTAATTTGTAAGGTGACTCTGATGACAAAAAGATGATATTGACTAAAGCTGATGGTGATGATCTTCATTATTAAACTGGTGATAGAAATGGCAATAGTGATCAAAATGTTTTTAATGTTGGGAATATATGATCATGTCTCAATAACATTATCTTTACAAGGTAATTTAAAGAGCAGCTCATCCAATCAACTCTTAAGAATATTATATATATAATATAGTTAATTATATATTATAATGTAATGTATATTATACTCCCTTTGATATATCACTGATATAATGTTTTGAGATAATAATATAGATAATAAATAATATATATACCTATAGCTGGAATACATATACAAGCTTGCACCTAAAGTGGGACCTAGAAGCTAGTTCTCTAAATTTCTATGTAGTGTTATATCCAATATTCTGTATCATACTGTGTGACATGTGAAAGCCTTGGTGTTAACTGACTCACTTTAGCAGTGTGGTGGTGAAGAGTATAATTTTTTTTTCCCCCAAAACACTTGTTTCTTGGAATTATTCCTAATGCCACGGACTCTCTATGCCCAGAATCCTTTTCAGGGATCTCTTCACTTCCTTATTTCTTAGACTATAAATGAAAGGATTGAGAGTGGGGGTTACCAGGGTGTACATGATAGCAGCACCCAGCTCCCCAGAGGCATGGGAAGCTGACGGGGACTTTAGGTAGGTGGCAAAGACCGAGCTGTAGAAGAGGATGACCGTGGAGAGGTGGGAGCTGCAT